TGCAAATACCAGAGTGTTGATTAAAATTAAAAATATAACATAATTAATGTTTTTTCTTTCCTTTTTTAGTCTTCACAGTAGAGTATTAATATATATATATTAGAAAATGAATTAATTCAGAATGTAACCTTACTTGAAGCTTTCGTTGGTGCTGTTGGCATCATGCTCGATGTAATAATGCTCACTTCTGGATGAAAGCAAGGCCTTCCTCTTTCTAAGGGTGCAACAATAATCCGAGCTAAATTCATGAAATTCCTTAGTCACGGTTCTGCACAAAATGACAAGTTTTTTTTTCAATAAAAGATTTCTCTGCTACAATTTTTACAATAGTTGCAAATATAACGAAACAACTAATGCAATTGCATGAACCATAATGCTGCAAATTTCGTTACACTAAATATGAATGTCAATCACGATTATATAAGTTTAAACCTACAGATATCTATTCACGTCACGTTTAAGGTATCCAACCGAATAGATGTGAAAAAAGAAGAAGATCGAAGAAGAAGAAGAAACTTAGTGGGATTATTTAGAGACAACTCTTTAAAAACAATAACTCCTTGAAAAAAAAAAATAGGTCACGTAATTTAAGACAACTCTAATATATATTTTTTTAAACGAAATAATTTTATAATTTAAAATAATTCTTGTTTAAAAGTGTATATAAATAATAGAAATTGAATATACTTTTATAGGGTATATAGATAGATATAGATAGATAAATGAAATACATTATATTAATATATAAAAATTTAATTCCCTTTCAAAAAAATAATAATAAAACCCATTTATATTGCATATGAAGGTAGTTTGTGCATTTATTATTTTGTGTGATGGTTCATTCAAAGAAAGGGGGGTGAAGATTAAGTCAATTAAACCTCAAGGGACTTTAATCAATAACTTGAGTGGAGATCAGGTAATTTATCCTTTTAATTACAATGCTTTATTAATAAGATAAATTACACTGATCTCTCCTGAAGTTTGAGCAAATTACACACAGGTAAAGCGTTTGACCTTTATAACTTTGACCTCCCTTGAGATTTGATGCATATGTTGAACAATACCCCTTGTCGTTAATGAAAATTAAATAAAAAAGAAGATTAAATTATCATTTTCTTGTGTAAAAAGACCTAGATAACCTTATATTTTGACATGAAATTACAAAAAATATTATGAAATGCAAATCAATTTTCATTCAAATTTTATTTATTAAATTTTACAAAAACAATTTTTTTTTTTTTTTTTTTTTTTTTAATGACATTTGATTAGGTTTTTTTTAGAATTTCATCAGGTTCCTTTTTTTAAAAAATAAATAAATAAATAGATAGGGTAATATAGTGTTTACAAGATGTGGAGAAAATAAAAGGGTAATTAATTATACAACATAAATAATATTAGTTAGAGACTACATGAACATAATTATACCTTAGATGACGCGATGTTGTCAAGTAAAGATACAAACATAACATTTTTCAGTCCTTGCTACAGAAGTTTTTCAATAAATCTGGGTTCATTTTACTTTTCAGTTTGAATAACAAATTTTCATATTACAGTATAAATCAATTTCCTTGAGTATGTTAATGCTCAAAATTATCAACTCAAAGCAGGCAGTAGCAAAAATGAGGTGTTTTCAACAAATGAATTGTCCGAGCAATGATTTAGTTGTGCATTTTCAAACATTTAAGAATTATGTGAATTGGCTAATAAGCAATAAGTTGGAATTTTAGATCAACTGAACAATGCGACTAAAAAATGACCAATAAATATTTCATGTGGGTTCACATGTTTCATTTTTTCAATGTCCATCAATCCACCTTTCATTCACATTGATGTGTTGTGTATATATATAATATTACGTAGATGCATATATAAATTATGAAGGGTAATTCCATAGGCCTATGTGAGCCCAGAAACTACAGTGATCTATTAACCAGCGAGACCAAACAGCTCCTGCGTGACAGGTTAATAATACTGAGGGTATTTCAGTCATTTAAATATTCCGAGATACAACAGCAGCTCGTCTTCTAAGCATACGCGTAAAGTGTCCATAGAAATGGATTCATAAGAGAGGCAAGTGGAAACTAAAAATAAGTTGCAGTACGCAGTCAAGAGATCAATGTAGTAATCAGTAATGTCGACATTTAGTGAAAATTTATATAAAAAATTTTTAGCATCCACAAATATGGTCAGTCATGACCTCCTGAAAATCGTAGCATGTACCATACATACAATCAATGAGTCATAAAAGAATAGAATCTATTATAACGAGTTTGATGATATTTCAAAAAATAAAGAATGCAACCATGAAGATATTTTTAAACAAACATTTTCAAATTATGAGGATGCATGTATCATGACTCTTATATAAAACTATTAGTGGATTATACTTTATGTAGGTGGATGGATCAATTAAAGTGATAATTTGAAGTAGCACAAATTCTATTGGAGGATTATACTTTATGTAGATGGATGGAACAATTAAAGTGATAATTTGAAGTAGCACAAAATATCTATTGGACTGTTGTGAATGTGATTCTTTATGCTTCCAAGTTTACTACATCAACTTCAACAACAACACACACATATATATCAATTAATCAATAATTTGCAAGGCATTTACTTATTATATAATATTTAACGTGGGATAGTGAAATTAAGTCGAGATTTCTGCTCTAAGGTTGTCGTATGCATTTTGTGTGAGGTCGAAAAAAATTCATTGACTGCAACAACTGATTCCGTTATATTTTGTCAACATATATATATATGATTTCATAGAGGTGGATTTTTAATAATTTTTACTGACCTTTTTTTAAATAAAAGAAAAAAGTAATTAAGGCAAGTAATGACCAATTCAAAAAAGTTTTGTTGTTATGGTTAGTAATTAGGAAGCACGGACACTTCTACAAAGGAGTCGTACCCATGTCCAACACTTCATATCCGTGTTAATAAATAAAAATTCATTTTATTATTTCAGACACTTCACCGACACTTCTTGGATACTTCTAACACAAGTCTATCATGTAATTTTGAAAATAATATAAATACTATCATGACAAAGTAGTGAAATAATGGTATATATGATATAAACATTATTACAATAATAACATAATTTTATTTTCTAATTCATTTAAGAGCAACACTTAGTATAGAAATTATAAATGAATTAAAATTTTATAATACTATAATTAAATAGATGTACAAAAATAAATATTTATATTTATATATATATATATATAGTCATGTCCACACCGTACCCATGTCCTACTTTTTTAAAATTTGAAGACGTATATGTGTCGTATTGGGCATGTGTCCATGCTACATAGGTTATTAAAAATGCTTAGTAATTATATATTTTAAGAAATTAATAACTAAAAAGAAACTTAATTATGAAATAAATTAATCATACAATACAAAATATTTGAGAAAAAAAAAAAACAGAATATAAAAGTAAAAAAATTAATCTAACTTAAAAATATTATTTGCTTACATATTGTGAGTTGATGATAATTATAATTTTATTTTGTTTGTTAATAACTAGCTTGGTCCCTGTGGCTGGGTTTTGAGCCCCTTTCGTGGGCTCTCTTTACCCTTGGGCTTGCCTGTACATCTTGTGCACTTATACACTTTTCATTCTTCAAAAAATAAAAATAAAAAATAAAAATGTTGAATAGTTATAATAACTGAAAAATTAAATAGTTATATAATTTATCAAAAAAGATAAAAAGAAGGAGATATAATCCATTGTGTACATAGTGTTGCTGGTTGGATAAAATAGACCACATACAAGTTCTATAATTGGATCCACATACAAGTTCTATAATTGGATCCACTTAAATCTGTCAATAAGGTCGGATAACTAGTGGAATGTAAAACATGATTTTGACGGGAGTTGTGAAATTATAAGAATGCAGTCAAGATGAACCCACCAGGATTTCACATTTAGTGGACCTACCAATAAGATATTTATGCAAAGGCTTTTTTAATCCATTGTGTACGTAGTGTTGCTGGTTGGATAAAATAGACCACATACAAGTTCTATAATTGGATCCACTTAAATCTGTCAATAAGGTCGAATAATTAGTTGAATGTAAAACATGATTTTGGCGGGAGTTGTGAAATTATAAGAATGCAAGATAAACCCACCAAGATTTCACATTTAGTGGACCTACCAATAAGATATTTATGCAAAGGCTTTTTTAAGCAACCGTAAAATATGATCACGGTCAGTCCACCTTTATGTTCTAAGCAACCACAGAATATTATCATGGTCAGTCCACCTTTGTGGAGAACGTAATGTCTTTATGCATTCAGTTGCGTGTCGTGTTTATATAAAATAGAAAGATACATTTTTCGAATTGAGAAAATTCTGAAAGGGATAGATGTGAGTGGGGAATATTAGCCCACCACTGTCGTGCAATGTGCCGCCACAATCCTATCTCGCGTTCTACATTCACAAATATGATAATTTGAAGTTGCACAAAATTTACTGTACTGTTAAATGAATAAAAACATGTAAATTTATGGAGCAACTTTTAATGATCAATACAATTTATAAAGTTATCACAACAATATCTCAGGCCATGTTTGTGAAAGGAACAAATGTCTGATACAAATGTCTCTGTCCCCATCTAAACAATAACATATTGAGGAAGAAATTTTATTGTTATCTAATCCATGTTAGGCTTTAGTGGGGACGTTTGACAAGGTTTCATGCCACTCACACGCTAAAGTAATACCACTAGCAAACAGACCCTCTCTCTATCTTAGCAACAATTAACATTCATGACAATTGACAGTGAAAAACTAATCCATGCCTCAGTCATCATGTGTGACTTAATTCTGGGGCTCAGCCCCCATCAAATTCTACAAAATTTCCCCGTATATCATCTCATGCATTATGGGTTTGTCCCTGCATTGCACCATATGCTCAGTGCCTGTCCCGTCCCTCGAGTAGGCCACTTTTACCAAAACACAGTCGCGGATAAATATGACCTCGTACATATAGAAATATATCTTCAATGCTGTTATTTTCAAATGTTAGGCTTGATGAGCTCAGATACAAAAGCAAAAGCAAAAGCAAAACAAATTTTACAACCAACATTCATCATGATTTCTAGCCAATTTCCACAAATACGTGTGCACGCGTGGTTGTGTACAGGTTTATCTTCAATTCATAAATGTATCCTCCTTCCATATTTACTGGGGAAAAAAAAGGCATTCTTCCAGATCCAGTTCTCTCCAAGATTGTATTTAAAATCATATAAAACCAAAAACTAAAAGTGAATCTAATCAACTACATGCCCATCCCTTGATTCCATAATCATTAATCACTAGGAATCTCACACCAAGGGAGGCTACTGCTCAAAGGAGTGTTGGGTTTTATCATAAAGATGTGTCCTTGTAGTAAAAGTAAACAGCAAATTTAGAGCATAGAAAAGTTGCAAAACAAGTATCACTTCTTTCCCGCTTGCATCTTACACTGATCCAAGAAATGTTCAATAGAAATACCCAAGAACTTGACCACCGACATTCTGTTGGATTGCCTCTTCATGATCTAAAACTCCATTTGGCGTTGTAATCACCACATAGCCCCACTGCATGAAAGGAAAGAAGAAGTCCTTAAAGTCAATCAGTTCCCGTTAAGTGGATTACAAAGTTGTGAAGAGACTGATATAGTAGTAATATTTCATAAGATCAAATGGCTAACAATGATAGAAATATCTAAATCATTGTAACATGCATAAAGTAATTTCAATAGGAGCAAAATAATGGTTTTACCGTAATAGGAAAATTTCATCTGTTTTCTCCAATATATATGGTAGTGGTTCATAACTCGTGAAGCTTCGCCCTTGGGCATAATGGTAAAAAATACATGATACCGAGTATTAACTACGGAAACTTTCTCAGCCACAATAAAATAAAGAAAAAGAATTGACAAATCGTAGAGAATTATACAATTTGGAAATGCATTCTCAGAGCAAGTTTACCAAGCTAATGAGTTATCTCCTACTCATTGACAAGGTTTCATGACACACACTAAAGTAACAATGATAATTTTTCGTCTTCTTCATATTAGACTCGTGTTCGATACCACCACTTCACAAATAATCATGGATGCATGTTTGGCACCTTGTGAATGTCTCTGTAGTATGAATTTCCTAATTTTAGACACTTCTACAACACCTATAATACACTCACTCCCCAATACAAGACTCATGTAGACAGTCTCAATTTAATAGAAGTAATGCTCGAAAGTATTTGAAAACAAGATAAACATGCCATTAAGCACTCATCCTTTGTTTTGATATTATACACATACACATGGTCGTCATGCAATGGACCTAGTTATTAATTTTGAAGACAAAAAGAAAGAAGAGAGTAGTAGTTTTATCTATAATATAAATAACATACCGAAAATTATTATTATCAAACAATAATCTTTATGATATTTGTTGAGCTTCATCTTCTATAACATCAATCTTCGATATCATTTCCACAAACCATCTTCAAAATGATTATGTTTTTCAACTATACATATGAAAATGCATCTTATTGCTACATCAATGATAGTTCACATTTGTTAGCATCCAATGTCCACATTCTTAATGTATATTTGCCTCACAAAATAGAAATCAACTATTACAACGTATATTAAGTATGCCACAATTTCACAGGATAAACAGATTGTTTGGTGGTCCGGAATGCAAAAAGGTATTAAAAATAAAGAAAATTAAGTTACTAACAAAATGTCTACAACTCAACACAAGAATTCCTAACAGAGTTCCCAAATCCTAAGAACCCTACTAACAAATTAGCAGTCTTTTGGCCATTAGTCTGGTCAAGACCAGGATCACAAAGATTCCAAAATCTTGATTCAAATATACATATTGAACTAGTTCAACTGCAATAATAAATTAAACAAACCTGACGGGTTGGAAGCGTACGTATCCTATACTTTTCAATTTCGTGTGCCTTAATGTCCTGCCTGTACGTGAGAACCCGGCAGTGATTTACCCTTCCCTGCAGTTCAACAGTTATCTTTCCTACTCTTTGAGGATCATATACTTGGAAATCTTTGATATATCCTGGAAGGCATAATAAAAAGTCAACAACATATAGAAGTTGACTTGCCAAAAAAAGACATGCAGAAGCTGACAATATCATCCGAGGTTCATGAGAAACAAATATTTTGTGCTTCCATCGTGAGAAAATTGAAGCTTGACTCACATAGGTAAGCACATAGAGACAGCTTTCTTTCTGCTCTGATTATTCTATTGTCTTTAAATATCACATTTATAAAAGATACCAACAATTTACTTGACAAAGTCTTAGATACCTAAGTTCATATCTTTTTAGTAGCACAAATATTGTCTGATATGCTAGCACCTATCTATTGCCCATTCAAGGAAAAAGAATCCTTAAATAAGTAGAAGCCAAAAAAATGTCAACATGTCAAATACAGTTTCAGATTGGGCTTGGGTTAAAGCATCGGATCACCAAACTTAACATGATTGCCAAATCCCAATCCTAGCCTAATTCAAATATTTATATGTATAAAGATAATAGTTCCCATGAGATTTTATTGATGTCTTAGTGGTAGAATTATCATTTTGGAAACCATTTGAGTACTTGCAGAAGCACGGGCACTTTTATAAGGTGCCGTGTCCAACACCGACACTCCATGGACACTCTTAAACACGTGTCCGTTATTTAAAAATAAATGTTATTATTACGGACACTTAGCCGACACATCCAAGACACTTGGTTGACGCATTTCGGACATTTGGTCAACACATTCCGGAAGCTCAACCAACACATCCTACACTCTTTGTTTTATATAAAACAAACACACGACAGTCTTGAAAACAACATTATGAACATATATCAAAGTGTTCAACCTCCAAAGAACAAAAACACGAGTATAATGACCAGATAGGATAGTACTATCATATATATATAACATATTCTTTTTTATATTCAAATGGCGTCACCTTCTAACTTATGTAACTTTAGTATAGAATTTATAAATTAATTAAAGTTCCATTATTGTCACATTCAATAGATATATAAATTAAAATTTATATTTATATTAGTTGTGTCCATGCCATATCTGTGTCCTACGTTTTTAGAATTTGACGTGTCGGCATATCCGTGTTGTATGGTGTCCGTGTCCCATGTTTGTGTCCGTGCTTCTTAGAGTATTTGTAATTTTGAGGTATAATAGTTATTGCTACACATACCCAACCTGATTCCCAACTTGAACTTCCCAAACTAGGCTAACCTCTGTCTTCTTGTCTTCATTTGGCAGACAACTTAACAATTAGTAATGATTCAGTTCAAGTGTAATTCAGCTTCTTTTACAGTTCTAGGGAATTAAATACTACAAAGCTCTTGCAACCTAATACTAGGTTTGGATGGAGGCACCCAACATTAACACAAGGTTGTAATAAGATAATACAAAATTGATAAAAGCCTTGCCTTTCACAAGCAAATTGAAAGTTTATATCCAGCAATAAAAGATAAATAAAAAATTATGTCATTTGCAACCAATTTTAAGCAAACAGTCGAGGAAAACTATACTGAACTTTGGGTATCCAGAACAATTTCTCAAATGAGAGAAAAAATGATGGAAAAGGCTAACAACTCCACTTTCCTTTAACAATGAAAATTTTTAATGATCCCATGGCTTGCTCATGCATTCAAGTCTCAACATCAACTCAACTATTAAAATATCAAGTGTTAACATCTCCTTAGTTGATTTAAAACCACCTTTTAAATTTGGAAAAGTTCTGCAACATCACCTATATAGGCTTTGAGCACTTAGCACGAACTTATAGCACATGCACCTTTCTTTTCTTTTCTTTTTGTTTTCCTAGCTTAGCACATGCACCTTATTCCACATATTTTAAAAATGACCAAACCTCACATTCCAAATTGGTAACTGTAATAATTCACTCGCCATTTTTCAAGATATTAGATCTATATATAATGAAAATTGAATATCCTATTAACAAAGACGTTAAGATATTCTGTTGCTAAAATTTTCATCTTTTCTCCAATATTTGAGCTTGGAATTAGTTTGAAGTTCCACTGAAAACGTACTCAGTACAATATGCTTTATATAAGCACTGTAAATCAGCCACACCATGACCTGGTTGAGCAACCTCCAACCAGACGTGGGGTTAAGAAAAATACATAGGCAACATTTGCATCCTTCGGGTTGGGTTGTGGTTGGAATAATTGACACAAAACCAACTGGCCTATATAACAGCTCCACACATAACCCATGGTGCAATCAATAGGAACTAGAAAGTCTGTGTCCTCTATATTAAGCTTATAAACCATAAAAATTCTATTAAAAATATTTTCAACAGACAAACCACAGCCACCAATTAACTCCATCTTTCTTCAGGACTGGCCCTCCTATTGCATATTAAAGTCTCAACAATGACTCCGCCTCTGTATATACAAGATTCAGCTCAAGGATGAACTGCAAGCCACCCTCTTTGACAGTTTTACTAACTATAGATGGTTGGACACTTGCAAATCTCCTACATGATCGTTGACCTAAGCCTTTACCTCATCATATTTAATAGAATTAAATAGGATCGAACAACTATACATCGTCTTTCAAAAAGCATCACAATGTTCCTCTAAAAGCCAACTTCCCATCCCATGACAAGCCCCTGGTCTTCTTTCAAGAAGCACATCAATCCGTACAACCACATTTGATCCCAATCCTACATCTCCATTTAATCCTATTTTGATTCCAATCATCAATGCAAATTCACCAGTAAGCTACTCCTTGACATTAGATGTTAAAATCCCAAGCCCTTCCCTTCCTAGACCAACACATATTCTTTCATACAATTAACTAACAACATGCACGAGCACCACTCTAACTTTTATATGTATATATATATATTCTGAACCACTATATTTACTTGGACATGGAAGGTAAAAGCCAAAAGCAAACTCATTTAGAATTTCCCTCTACAGATTTTTAAAATGAGAAGCCCCAACTGTTAATAAATCAAACATACATTAACCACTCAAAATCATCAATAAGAAAATAGAAAAACAAAAAAAATAAACAACAATCAAATAGTTTCTGAGCCGTGAACGTTAATTGGAAAATTGGGTACCTGATATGGAGCTTCATTTAGTTGGTGAGAAAGAAAAAAAAATTGAATCCCATATGTGACAGATGTTAATGCCTAATTAAACGAAAACCTAAAGGCTTGTATTACTCAGAAACATTCCGCATTTTTCTTTATCTTTCATTTCGCTTGGATTCTCCATGGAACAAACCGAATTAATTATACAACTTAGGGTAAGGAACATACATAGATATATATATATATATATACATATCTATATGTGTGTGTTGATTGAACTAGATGATACCTCGCTTTTTCATGATGTTGAGAAAGGAGGCCATTACAGTGGAAATGGGCTGAAGTTGAGCAGTGGCAAAGCCTCGCTTCTCTGCATTGACGAGCTTACTCAGAGCTTCGTTCAGAATTCTTCTTCCCATCTTGCCCCTTCAGTCCTGTCCCACTCTGAATCCCAACCAGTCCCCAGAAAAAACCCTTGAATTCCTCTCACTTCAGTCCGTCCCGACCTTCAAAATGGTGTAATAAACCCTACTCTGTTCCCGGGTTGGGTATCCGACCCATTTTGCCACATGGCGACCCATTCTACTTAAGTATCCGAATCAAATCCGATCCATCGGTATTTATAATATAAGCAGGAGCCGGTATTGATTCTCCATAATTATCTTCAGGGCTTTATTTTTTTTTTCTCTCTAAATGAAATTATGAAAGGGTCCACACTACACAAAGTTGATTCATATCATTTTTAATATCATAATTGTCCTTTCTTATTAGGATTTGAATTTTCGTTCCAGAATCCCTTTGCAAAACTAGAAGCTCGTTAGCAAAAGCAAGGTAATACTACCAACACCAAAAAAAAAAAAATGAGAGTACTTGTTAATTTTATAATTATAAATACACACACACATATATATATATATATATACATTCTTCTAATCAACCTAATTATCTTGATAAAAATAAAACTCAAGGTCCTCCATTACCTCTCCATTTAATATATATATATATCAAGATAATTAGGTTGATTAGAATAATGTATCAATAATAATAATAATAATAAATAAATAAAAATATAACGAGAACAACAAATACATACATTCCCAAAGTCCAAAATAAACAAAACATAACAACAAAATTGAGACAACGTAAGGAAGACAACACCAACACCAATAAGAAACAACCAACTAAAAATAAGTACAAATTGCTGGAAAAAAAAATAAATGAAACTTGAATTATAAAACAAATATAGAATAAAATATTAGAGTTAAACGAAAACATAAATTACATGAAAAAATTTGTGAATTCATAAGCATACAACATTGACCATATTACATAACAAATGATACCAATTGCAAACAATTTTTATGAAGATCTCAACGGAGTATGGAAATCCCATCTCATTGATAACAAAAAGAAATTTAAGCAACACCTAAGTTCTCTTTCCACTCTTATTGCTAAACAAACAGCAATAACAGAACAGCTAAAAAAACTTTGTATACAAATATGTCTCACAATTGATTGGGAAAAAGATTATACTTTATCTAAAATTAATTGGTTTTTACAACTAGCAATCATAGTTAAAAATGATTTTCCAAATACTTTTTTCGAAAAAAATAAGAAGGATCTGTCTCCTTGAAAAAGCAAGAGATATGATTCCGTTTGATATTTTAAAGATGATCTTAAGAAAAACTAAAGATCATTTGTTAACAATTCAACAGTTATATGTCGGCAATCATGAAGAGACGAACCATTTCGAGATGCAAAATTTGAGTCTTCAGTGAGGAATGTTTCTCCTGAATGACCACATAGTTCTTCCTTAAGGATTTTAACAAATTCTCGGAGTATTCCTTCAAAGTCGTTAAAATTGCTTAGGAGAGCTACCTTTTTCTCTTTTCCTCTGGAAGATTGATCCCCTTTTTTGGGCAATTAGGCGCTATGTGTCATTCTTCATTGCACATCTAACATTTACAACTTTTCTTAGAGGGTTTCCACTATGAAGTATTTCGTTTGACATACTTCTTTGTCTTTTGGATAGGTTTTTTGCCTGGCTTCCATTTCTTTCATTTAAATCACTTTTTACGAAAAGACAGCAAGCTCTCCACCATTAGATGAATATGAACTCCATAAGCTCATCAACGCAATGGAAGGATGACCACTTCTTCTCAAACAACTGCAAACTCATCCAGCACACGACAAGAAGAGAGGTCTATTCAGGAACAGTGAAAGTCTGTAAAAAGCAGATTCCTTCACATGGCTAAAGTAAAGTCTGTAAAAAAGTTGCCGTATTAGTGAATTGTGTAAGTTCATGAAGAACTTTCCACTGAATATCAAGACTGAGAGAATCATGATCCATATCAAGTTTTGGAAGTTTTATCTTTATTTTTGCTAATTATTAAAGTTCTTTAAATAGTTGGGATTATTCTCTTCTCCTTTTTAAATTTCATGGTATTTATCAAAATGCCATTGTGTATTGTCATACTATTTTTATTATATAGTATGGCTTGAGAATTCGAACACTATCATTGGAAATATTAATATATCATGTACAATTTTTTATTTATAAAATTCTAAATTGAATCGGTGTTGTTCAACACTCTCGACATAAGAGTAATGCTATAGTGTTTAAATAGGTTTTTTTTGGTAGCTTCAATAAGCAATGTCCACCAATAATTCTTACAAAATAATTAATATGATAGAAAATTTCCACTTTTAAAGTGTTTAGTTTAACAATTGCCACATCAGTCGGTTATAAAATGGATCTGGACTTTTATCATTCTCCCAATATCAAAATATAGTTTAAGCTACAAAAATATTGTAATATGTAGATCTATAATACAAATGAACAACTCACTTAGAGATTTAAGTTAGGAAATTGCATTAGATCAAGTCCTGTAACCCATTTAATTTGCTAAGAGTAGCACTACACATCAAGAAAATATTTCGTGATGTTTATCACGAGACAATGAGTTGTAATTTTGTCATTCTTATGTATCCCTTATAAGTTTTGACCTCCCTTTCTCATACCTTATCCTATTTTCTACCCAAATTTATGTACTTAAATGCAATGAGTGCATCCAATTATCACTGTCACTTAAAAGTTGAAACCATCGATACATCTGATGGCAAAATATGGACATCAATATTTTTAGCCTTCCTCTGACAGTAGGAACCTAATCTCTTGGTTCCCCTCCCAAAAAAAATCTCAAATTAATTTGTGTCTCAATGACGGGACTCTTCTTTGCTCCATCTCTCTCTTAAACTTGCAACTTCTATCTCTGGCTCAATATAAAGCAGTGTATTGTCTTAGGTCGCATTAATAACAAATTTATTATTAGGAGAAGTTCTCTCGGGCAAGTCTACGAATTGCAGGCTTTGTGATCCCCTGAATCTCAGCTTTCTTGCCAAAGGCGATGGACAATCAACCAAGTCAGGAAAAGGAACGCATCTTTAGCTTTAAACTGTAAAAGGTTGGGAACTAATGATTGAATAATAGCATCGGATTAAAGGGGGTATGATTGGAATTATGAAAAGTTTTATTAAATTCAAAGAGCTTCGCGTGTCTCTCTAGGAAAAGCGCTTTGAGAAAACTGATACCCCCAACTTTCTCAAAAACACCCTTCTTGAGCCCGAAGCTCTTTTACTATTTCAATGAGATGCATTTTCATATGTATAGTTGAAAAACATAATCATTTTGAAGATAGTTTATATAAATGATATTGAAGATTGATGTTATAGGCATCTAAGGGATAGAGCTCATAAGCAAAAAAGTGCTTTCTGATTGAGAGATATGATCCTGCGTTCTTAGCTCCATGCCGTCCACTGCTGAAATAGAGATCGACATTGTTAGTAATAGCTTCCCTCTTAGTATCCTACTCTTAGTACCTGCCTGTAGCTGCCCCATTCACTACTAGAAGATGAAGCTTAACAAATATCATAAAGATTATTATTTAATACTATTAATTTTTAGTATATTATTTATATTATAAACAAAACTACTACTCTCTTCTTTCTTTTCGTCTTCAAAATTAATAACTGGGTCCATTTCATGATGAACATGTGTATAATATTAAAACAAGGGGTGGGTGTTTAATGGTGTGTTTATCTTGCTTTCAAATACTTTTGGGCGTGACTTATATTAAATTGAGATTGATTGCATGAGTCATGTATTGGGGAGTGGGTGTATTATAAGTGTTGTGCAAGTGTCCAAAATTAGGAAATTCATCTCAACTACGGAGACATTCACAAGGTGCCAAACATGCATCAATGATTATCTACGAAATTGTGGTATCTAACATGAGTCTAATATGAAGAATGTGAAAAATTATCATTGGTACTTTAGTGTGTTAGTGTGATGCCCCCGGATTTCCGAATGCGAGTTGGTTAGGCCTACATCTGAATACTCGGAGATATGAAAACAAATCGGTAATAAACGAACACAAAATACAAAAGAATAAATAAGAATAGGAAAAATACTGAAAAGAAAACTAAAATGATAATCCAGTATTTTAAAACTTCAGAATATATTTCTATTAAATAATAAAATCTTCTGATACATCTAATCCTCCAAAATATAACTCGGGAATGCATACTGTGTGGACCTCTAGAAAATCCCAAATTGATAGAATCAATAGTAACACTTGTCTACAACTGAATACTGAAACATAAAGTAATATCCTATGTAGAAGATCCGAAAGAATGATGTTAGCTGGTCTCTGCTCTGCACGATCAAAATCTACATAAACTTGAAAACTAAATAGTGGGTAAGGCCTACAAACAAGTTCTTTCTACTACATCTAACAGAGGCCTAAAGAACGAATACATCCTAGTCAACTCATGCAATAGCTAAGTTGTCCGTATATATAGATGCACACTAAAGGAACCTCACTAAACTATAGAGTTGTCTCAACCTGAATAATAGGCAACATGCAAAACGCACATATAGTGGGCATGAGTATCTAGACCTACCAGGGTACACAACTACACTATATCTAGCTACATATCCCTGGCAATATATGCACCCTAACCATGATTTTGAGACTCAAACTCATATCATGACATATAATTATATATATATATATATATATATAATCCGTCCTATCTAAACGTAAAATAAATATCCAATATGTCATCCAACTGATTCAGTTGACCTGATATGAAACTATGTAGGATTTAACATTTTAGTTAATCCATTCCGTTATACATGAATATGTAGGACTTGATATTTTTAGTTAATCTGTCCATAATATGTCACCATTCCATACTAGTGCATATAATGTATACAATCCATAAATGATGCTACAGTTATAATATCACATCAAATAAATCCATACACAGCATGATATAAATCATATAGATATTCCTTTGCATTTAATTGAGCAAAATGTAACAATTCTAAGTAACATGCATTGAATTTATCTCATAAAAATTTACATGCATCTCAAATAATTGTATTCCTCCACAATCTGATCAAATTTATTTAAAACCAAATAATTGATTAAAATAATTTA